ACAGAACCCAATAAACACCCTTAAAAGTGGAAGAAAGGTCTCTAGGTGATCTGAATTTTGCTTATCTTTGCAAGGTGGTTCCTTAAAGTTTCTTAAATTTCTGATAACACAGTTTTGTTACCAGGAGTTAGATTTGCACTTTGCAAAAATAGAATGAGATTTTCAACTGGGCAAGGACACCATCTGCAGTCACCAGATGCAGTTTATCAAGATTAAATTGTAAGACTTGCCACTGATTGTGCTGGTAATCATTGAAGTAATCAGTGTAATTATCTTGTGATCAAGACGAGATTTTCTCTGATCTGATAGATTCTGCCTAATTAAGTTGAAGGAGCATCCATCATTAGCTACTGGAAAGAGTATGGCTCCAACTGGGCATTTGTCTGTTTCACTTTGATCAGTTTATTTTATAATATGGGAGAAAAATAAATAGGAATGTTGTGAAATTGACATCTTACGATAACCAATTTTCCATTGCCTTATGTCAGATTTCTTGAAAACCTACAACAGTGCTTATTCATGAAAGGCTCCTAGGTATTCTCTTCATAACCAGACTTTAGAAGAGATTTAAGTCTGGATCTCTTTGCCCAAGGAAGATGAAATATTTCCACTTGAGTTTATTTTAAGCTTTTAGAGTATATATCTTTTTCTACTATAGATCATGTGGAGGCTTGACTCAGCTGCGCTGCAACTGGAAAGGATTTTCTTGCCAAATAGAATGGTTGTTGATGTTTTCTCAGAAAATGTGTCTGAGACTTGGTGGAATATAATCCCAAACTCTTAAAAATGTTTTTTACCTTAATGCACACTAATAATCTAGAAAAAAATTAAGAGGCTTTGGAGAACTCTTCACAAGTAGTCATTTGTATGTGTTGGAGCATTTTCCTTTAGCATCTGTAATGTGGTTCTTCATGTTCTTATATAGTGGTAAAAAATATTTTGCAGATGTGTTTGCTGAGCAGTAACTGACATATCTTGAGCCTTTGTTCATTTCTTCTATAGGTTGTCAAGACAATTTCTTCCAAATATAGTGATAAATTATGTTAAAGATTATGATGTATCTTACATCTTGTGCCTTTCATTTTTAACTTGCTTTATGTTGCCACTACATATGCACTGTAAGTGTATATATAATTTTCTTTTATTTTTCAAATGGCATAGATGTGCATACAAAATGCTGTTTGTATTTCCCATCAGGGTATATTGCTCAGGGAAGGGATTTGAGCCGTCTGTAGTCTACAGCAGATGAAGAGGATGCAGGAGATAACAAGGAAAAGTAGGCAGTTCTGAATACCTTCTAAAAAGCAGGTGATTCAACCTTTGTTAAGCTCAAAAGAACAAGCTCTAACAGCATCCCCAACAGCTGTTTCTGTAATTTCCAGCAAGTTACCAAATTTCATTCCAAGAAATGTGTTGCCACAGAAGACTTCCAAGAGCAAAGCATCATAGGAAAGTTAGGAGATGATTGATAATATTTTTCTGTCATCAATCTGATATTATATCTGTTAAGCTTCTCACAATTATTTATCAGCTGAGAGTTATGAAATAATTCCTGACTTGACGTGAAAAGGGAAAAAAGTCAAATGCATTTTTTAACATGAACCCAACCCATCAGTCTTAAAGTGCTGATTCATTTGCCCACACAGTATAATTAAGATGTTAATCTGTAATAAGGAGTGATACATTCAGCGATCTCACCATCAGAAAGTAATTATAGCTTAAAATGTTCATTTGGCTCTCCTCAACCATTTTATTACTCTGTGACAGGTAAGGGAGGGCATTCATAGCTCAGGATCTATAAACCTTTTCCTACACACTTTGCTTCTACAACTGGAAAACGTTTGTGGTTATATATAGATGCCTATACTGGAAGTTTTTTGGGAACAAAATGTCGACTGAAATTCTGAGTCCTGTCCTAGGGGAGAATATTAGAGTTTGAGTACATTTGGTGTTCCATTAGATAATGAATCCATTATGTAGTTTAAGTTCAGGCTCACATCATTAATCATGACATTTCAATTATGCATAGTATCAGTGATCTTTTGTGCCCCTTTTTCCCACCTCAGTTGCCATTGCCTTCTATTAAGTTCTCTTTTTACTGCTTTAGGATTTTTCATGTTGCCATATTATGAAATCCTGAAATTCTTCCACTGCTGGAGACTTTCATCTGGGAATTTAAATGACCTGGCACCTTGCACGCAGCTCGTGGCACCTCTAGTTTGGTGCTTCATGGCATCTTATCTGCCTGCCTTCAAGGTGTCTGAGCTGTGAGGCAGCCAGGCCTCCACGTTTGAGGAGTGACAGGGAGAGATGCGTGAAAGACACGAGTTGTCCTGGGAATCCAAACCAGGTTCTTGTTTCATCTGCTAAATGGAATGTCTCATGTTGTCCTGGAGCCGTGGAGAGGGCTGTGTTGCCTGACTGGCAGTCTGTCTGTACAGCTGGTAGGACTGCGCTTCCCTGTGGTGTGCTGACAGCACACAGGTGGCATTGTTTTAAAGGATTTTATTGTTTGTTTGAAGGAATTCACTTGGAACCCGTGCAATTTGTTGTTCTATAGTGCACAGACAGCACAGTGGTCAGAAGTGGCTGCTGCATTCCCCTTTGGGTCCTGCTGCTCCCATCCAGCTCGCAAGTATCATCACTTTCCAGCTCAGTACCCACTCAGTCACATTGCCATGGTGTAGTTTTATCATATATCCATAGGTATCTAAAAAAACACCTGTAACTTCTTTTTTTTTTACACCAGTCTTCTTGTGTTTTGAAAATCAGTGGGCTGATTCAGCCTGCAGATGTTGGTGGAGCCAGACAGGATTTCGTGGAGGTTTTGCCCAATGTGCACAGACTGTGCTGGCCTCCAGAGGCACAGCCGCTCTCAAACCTGGTGCACAGGACAGCCCAGTGTGCAGCTTACTGAGAGGTCTGTGGTTACCAGCAGTGTAAGATTTATTAAGTGTAGGATGTATATAAATAGTTATTTCTCCAAAATATCTTCTCTGTTTTAACTCTTCCTAAATATGCCATTAGCAATTGCTTGGGAGTAGTGGTGGCAAATCTCTTTCTTTGGGTTCAGGTAAAATTGTCCTGTCCTCAGTCCTCTAGCAAACTAGACTTTTCTGGCTGGATAATCACCTCTTAATTTTAGCCTATAATCTCCATTTTATGGCTGTCTCATCAATACTAATTACAAGAAGATAAAGTAGTATATGGCTTTTTCTGACAACAGGGAAAGAAAGACGAGTACAAAGTAATAAAACACAGCTCTGTGGATGGGGGAATAGCAAGGCATGTGTGTGTGTGTTTTGTGACAAGGAGACTGGCATTACAGGAAGCAGAACTCATGGGAAACAATGCATTAGAAAGGGGCTTATTTTCTATTTCAAAGGTTGATTTGCTAAACTCGATGTAACCCAAAGATATTCAATATGGCAAAGTTAAGACCTGCTTTAATAGAAAATAGAAAATTAGATTTATCAATGAGCATCTTTTCTATAAGGCAACACAGTCAATGTCTTAAAAGAGGGAAAAAGTTATAATATTGTCAGGTCTTTCAAAACTATAAAACACCTCACTTATTTCCTGGAAGTCAGTTAAAATAATGATCTTTTTACAGTGCTCCATTTAATGGATTTTTAGTTATAAAATTTTAATATTTATTCAAAGTGCAAGTTTGCTTTAAAGATGTCTAAAAAAAGAGCCCTGTAGGAGTCTTATTTCCTGGACTTTTCTAATTCTGTATCAAAATTCCGATGCTGGCACACAAGAAAGTTGTTACTCCGAAGGGTAGGACTTTACTTAGACCAGGCTTGAAAAGTCGAGCTCTTTTTCTGAGGTCTTTTGAGGGCTTACTGGGAGTTGTGAGCTTCTTTTGAAGGCAGTAGAGCTGTCCATAGAAATAGGAGCTGTCTCTAGGTTCATATGTGAGTTTTATGGGCTATACAAGAGGAGGATGGGAGGCACCCTGACATGTGCACCCTGATGTGGAGGGCCTGCAGTTGTTCTTGGGGATACCGTCAGTATTAGCTGAGGACACAGTGATGTTTGTCGTGGACTCTGTGATCCCAAGGAGTATGGAGCTCTGCAGTGCCATTTGGGATCCATTTTCAAATTGGGGCTTCCCGGGGTACTGTGCCTAAAGTTAGTAGCAAAGTCGCTTAAGCTTTACAGCTGTATATCCTCAGAAGCATGGCAAGCCTAGAGGCAGGTGAATTGTGCATCAGTCCCTATGATGCACATTCTTAGGAAGCTGGGTTGTACATATTTTTTTCCAATTTTTCTGGTGGTTGAAAAGTGACAGACCAGACAGATTGAGTACAGTCATGATGCAGCCAACAGCTCACCCCCTGTGGTTGATCCGTTGGCTTCTTCCCTTTTCCCAGTTCTGATCTTGCCTGCTCGTTTGAGCACATCAGCTACAGTAGCAATAAATTCCTTTCTAATCATGGCACCTTCAACAACCTTAAGTACGAACTGTGTGTGCTGATCGTTAGTAGTTAACTGTGACCCCTTTGACATTACTGGAGTAATAGATGCATCTTTTTCATCAGTGGGCCCAGCTTTGGAGACATTATTCTAGTACCTTGTGTTATTGATAGGTAAAATGGAGTTGCTCTCACTGCATTTCCTTCCCAGTGAAATGTCTGTGCTGCGCAGCCCATTTTGCACGTGTAAAGGTTGGTGTAGTTGCTCAAATGCCAGTGAAGGCATAATTTGGCTTATGGGATCTGCACAAGTGATTGTGCATGAGATGGAAGTATCACTTGACATAAGAGATCAGCACTGAAAACCCTTTGTAACTAAACTTTCTGACCCTAGAATCTGCATAAAACTCTACAGGTGGCTGCCAGCTGTGCTGTCACTTTCAGGACTGTGTTTTAGCTGCAGCTTGATGCCACAGAACAGACCACAAGGCTTTTTTTCCTTGGCATTTCATTATACTGTATCCCAAAGAAAGAGCAAAATAACATCTTACAAAATATCTGCAATATTTATCCAGTTGTTATTGCTAGGAGGGTGTGTTCTGCACAATGTGCTTGTCAGCTTATGGAATGAAGATGCTTTTAGGATGAGATCTTTTTCCATTTTCCCCTTTTTGCTTGTTTGTGAATTATAACAAAAATTAAAGTCCCCTGTGTCTCTTGTCACTGAGTAGTCCTTACAGCCTGTGATCTGGTGAAAGCCAGTGTGGCACTGTGAGCAGAGAGCTGCTGCTTATTCTTCCTATCAGTGTTTGACAAGCAGGCAAAACCACTGAGAATGCTGTGTGTGGATTTGGAGACTCCTGTGTTGGCATGTACCTGTGTGATTGTGTATTAAATACATTAGGTCATGGTTTTGTCTTTATCGTGTGAGATCTTGCTTGATGAAAAGCTGTCAGAAGGGTAATGGTCTTGATTTTTTCCCCAACAGAAATGTTTGGGAGTTCACCTGACACTGTCTGAGAACTCAGGGGAAATTCCAAGTAGAAGTGTTGTCCTATTGGAACAACTTGAACAAAGATACTTTACTGTCACAGGTAATTTTTGTAGTGCTAGAAAATTATTTTTGAAGGACTCTACTGAAATGTAGATACACAGTATGTGGAGAGGGCATCTGCTAAACAAATAGGGAGTAAATCTCTCTCTCACATCTGAAATTTGCAGGCAGAGTGTCATCAGCAAGTGGCTCCATTGATTTCACCTTAGGGCTGAGGGGGTTGTGTGTGCAGGTATGTTCAAAATACTATGGTCAGAATACCTCTCAAACTTGGTTGTAGTCTCTGCTTTTTAGTCCTCTGAGAGCACTGACTGGCCCTCAAGTGCAAGGATTTGGTAGCTGTTCCATTCTCTTTTATGGAGGCAGAGGATATGTGAGTACTTGGGTGGTCACCAAAGCTGCCGTATGGACTCTGAAAGTCTCAACACCAAAGTAGAAACCCCTTCTCCTAGTCAGACATCTTTAACTACACATATATGATTGATTGATTGTCTTTTTATGCATCTTTTGTTTTCTTAGTATTGCCCTAAACAACAAAACATCTCAGTCTGTGTAATTTTTCAGATGTTCTGTATGATGGTTATCGGATTTCTTATCCTCCTAAATATTTCTCTGAAGACAAAACAGCATAAATTAATATTGCAGGCATCTTGTCCTGGACTTTCTGTGTGACTTTGTTGAGTCTATGGTGCTTTTTTCCATGTTGGTAGTTGGAGGAACTAATGCTTCCTCACATCACTAGTTTATTGTGGGGAGAAGTTATTACGCAAATAGATAATTTAGTAGTGGTGCATTCAGGAGCTAAGATATGGTCACTGCACCTTCTTTGCAGTAAAGACAAACACTTGCAAGTACCTGACACCTGCAGCTCAGTAGAAATCTCATTGTGTATTAAAAGCAGTGTGATTTCCCTGAGGAATTCAGGATTTGTACGTTTTCTTACGTCGTTGGATGTTAGCACTGAGTGAATGGTCTTGAGGGAGCTTGAGAAAAGGAAGCCTTGAAAACCTGTTTAAATTGCAAGACTGTAAAGAACTCTTCTGTGCAATCTTCTGTCTGTAGTATTATTCTTCTGCAATATTTGACTTGGTGTTAGGTATTCTATGTTTGTACTTGTATTTTAGAAATATGCACAAAAAGCCTTTTTATACCAAGTGCTCCTGGCATTGCTGTCATTTCCCTGTGCCTTCGTTCACTTTTTAAATTTTCTTTTTCTTTATTTGCAGATTTATAATTAATTCATATATTTATTTTAATTCTTTGTCATTTAGCTCTTTGTCTGTAGTCATTAGTGTTTCTTGTGGTATATCTCTCTTGTGTTTGTTCCAACTTTGACACCTTCTTTGTGCTTTGTTGTGTTCCAAGTAAGAGGAAATTAGTCACAGATCTTCCTATTGGTCTTACAAACTGTTTTCTTTTCTTTCTTGCAGTCACTAGAAATAAAGTTCTTGCTCTAAGTTTATTGTTGAAACCTAAACCTCAGATATCCCTTAGATTGGATATTCTGAAGCTCTGTTTCTGTTCTGTATTCTGAAACAAAGCTCTGTTTACCCTGACTGAAGCTCAATCTCATTGTATTTCTTCTGGTTAATTTGCTGGGAATTTGCTGAGCTTTGTTCTTATTCAGGCAAGTTTTGTTGACTGGGTTGTTAATTGCAGGTTTAGACTTCTATTTGCTCTATCTATCAACTTAAAACATTGCAAGTTTTTTTCCCCATATTCATTTACTTAGTTAGGCCTTTAGAAGAGGCACTGCTTCATTAAACACTATCCTGCTTAGTCTGTAATGACTCTACTTCTTCCACTCTAAACACATTAATACATTAAATAGTTTCATTTGTCTTCAGTGGGATGAGGATGTTCTACATTGTCTTTGATGCTTGGGGCCTCTTTGATACATGCTCTTTGGTGATGTACACAGTACTGTGGAGGACCCAGCAGAGTCCATGCTGTATTTCCAAGGTGACGGGGTGATTTTAGCCTGTAAAGCAAATTTGATATTTATTTGTCACACTCTGATGAGAACGGTATCATTTTTGTGCCCCTATAAAATGAAGCATCCAGGTCTTCGCTCTTTCCCCCCCAGCCTCTTCCTGCAGTAGGGCTCCAGAGCTGATGGTGGGAAGCCACTGCATACAAGTGGTAGGTGATGAGATGATGCTCATTCTGAGGTGATGAGCTGGACCACTCATCTACTCTTTTGGTGCAGCAGCACACTACTGAGGCATGTGAACATGAAGGGAAAAGACAATAGGTGGCTGTTTTTCCAGGGGACAGGCTGTCCTGCCACAACACCCGGGGCTGCTGGAGGGAGCAGCAGATTGCCAGCTCTGAGTGCCAGGGGGAGCAGCTGCCAGCTCCAGCTTGGCCTCTGAATGGGCTGCACATTTTAGCAAGTACTTAGCACTTTTGGGCAGGCTGGGAAAAAACAACTTCTGGAGTTTATCTCCTTTGGTAGCAGATTTCTGTCTGGTCTGAAGAGTAGACACTGCAGTGGCCAAAGAGCCAAAGGGAGGAATGGGAAGGATGCACCCAGTGCAATAGGGCTCTTTCACATAAACGCTGTTTTTTCGCAGAGGTCATGAAAGATTTCTTTGACGTGGGAGGTGCTACCTCACCTCTCTCTTCTCAAAGGGAGGTTTTCATGCTCTGCTTAGTTCTCTTCTAAACAGTTTTATGTTTCCAGAGTTAACTTCACAATTTCTCATTGCTAACAATTAAATCTCCTTTTAATTTTAGAGTAGAAGTTTTATGGAATACAAGTATAAGCTTTGTGCTTAGGTTCTTGGGCAATCACTGATTTGAACAACAGGTAAGTTGAAGATTAGTATTAATACACTACTCTCTCCACTAGTTGCAGTGAGAATATGCTGAACTTTTGCCATTCCCAAGCCATGGAGAAACACAAGTAATGTTCGTGTTGTTAAAATTGGTTTGGGTAATTTTATTTTTCTTTTCTTGTGGGGCTACGGACATACTTGGCCTCAGCAAAAAGGGTTAAATAGAACTTGAGCTATGAGTTTGAAATGATACTTGACAGATCTGATCCATATTACTGCAATGTGTCAGCAACTGCAGTTGGTATGTCAGTTCTGCAAGCAAAAAAGTGCTTGCAATGCAATAATGCAATTTTTTCTTTTTCATGCAAAATCACACATATCCACCGTGCAGGGATTTTCTTGTTCAGTGGGCTACGGTGTGGATTTAGAAAAAACCATAATTCATTTATATGTAAATACAACCTGAAGGCTACACATATCTGAGCTGCTACAAAGACAGAGAGCATATACATGAAAACAAATGGAACTGTTGTTGTTAGAAATTCATAGTTTACCATAATAGGGGCGGGGGGGGGGAGGGTTGTCTTTGAAACCATATAGGTCAGCATTTCAGACTTCTGTGTTTGTGTTCCAATTAAAGGAGAAAATGAAAAAGCTTCTGGATGTTTGTTATTGTAAAGCCAGCTCGAGGGGGGAGAAGCAGAAACAGTATTTTTCATATGTCCTATTAGCAAATGACATGCCATTAATAAGATATTTTAATATTTGGCTCATATATAGGTTTTGTGAGATTTATTTGTTTTGGAGGGTGGGGTATGTGAGTTTTTGGCAATTTTTACGTTTCTTTCTGTTACATGAAAAGAAAATTAAAAAAAAAACCTGGAAGTAGAAATTATGTCTGTAAGTCTCAAAAAAATTCTGGGAGGTACAAGAAATCCAGTATTCTAAAGCAAAAGAGAAGGAGAGGGAGACAAATAAGGAGATGGTGGGTGATTGTGGTGTCTTGCAGCAGCTTTACCTGATTTTTGTTCCTTGATGTAGTAAAAATATTTCCTTGCTGAAGTACTTGGATTTGGACTTAAAATAGCATAAATTACTTTGAGATAAGTTCACATTAACCACCACAAATTCCTCACTTAACCTGTCACTGTTGCTGGAGATACAAGTCTTAGCTCTTACCGATGCATCTTCTACTTCAGCAAGGGAAAATGCAATTTAGTTTTATAGCCGTTTTAGAAGCGTCTATGATAAAAGCAAACCAGTACCTTCTCTGATAAGTATTAAAAACCAAACCTGTGCAATTTGTAGTAAGTGTAGTCTATCCTCTTAAAAATATCTTGGGGATTTATGCACTAAACTCAGAATAATGCTAATAGGAGTTACCTAAGATAATAGATCATTCGTTTAGTGTGGCATTTCCCTTCAAGATAATTTTATTTCTATTTTTTTAATGAAAACAAAATTAGGATTGGAGTTTATGGTACAAAGAACTTTCTTTCCTTCTTCTCTGCAGGCATGCTTCTAAGAAGCGTATTGACCATGAGGAAGCCCATGTGTTAGTAACCAGGTTTTGCTAATCCTGCCGAAGAAAATGAAGCCACGTTTCAGCTTTGCCAATCCTTTTCCCACCCTGTTGGCTGAATGAGAAATGGTCGTGTGATTATGCTGACAGCCCAGCATGCATTTGGTAGACCTGTGGTTAACTCGTTCCCTCTCCATGTGTCTGCTCTTACAAAGTTTTGTCCTCATGATACTGTGCTTTCATTCTGCCAGTATGTGCCCAAAAGGCTGCCTTTGTTCCCACTCCGGAGGTCTGAACGTCAGCTGTAGCAATGCAAACCTCAAGGAAATACCCAGAGATCTTCCTCCAGAAACAGTCTTACTTTATTTGGACTCCAATCAGATAACATCTATCCCCAATGAAATTTTTAAGGACTTGCACCAATTGAAAGTCCTCAATTTATCGAAAAACGGGATTGAGTTTATAGACGAACATGCCTTTAAAGGGGTGGCAGAAACCTTGCAGACTCTGGATTTGTCCGACAACCGGATTAAAAGCGTGCACAAGAACGCTTTCAACAACCTGAAGGCCAGGGCCAGAATTGCCAACAACCCCTGGCACTGTGACTGCACGCTGCAGCAGGTGCTGCGGAGCATGGCCTCCAACCACGAGACGGCCAACAACGTCATCTGCAAGACCTCCGTGCTGGACGAGCACGCGGGGAGACCCTTCCTCAACGCTGCCAACGACGCCGACCTCTGCAACCTCCCTAAAAAGACTACTGACTACGCCATGCTGGTCACCATGTTTGGCTGGTTCACCATGGTGATCTCCTACGTGGTTTATTACGTGCGACAGAACCAGGAGGACGCAAGGAGGCACCTTGAGTACTTGAAATCCCTGCCAAGCAGGCAAAAGAAACCAGATGAAGCCGATGACATTAGCACTGTGGTATAGTATTCTGAATACGATGGCTGCCTTTGTGAACGAAACTAGAGTTGGATGACACTAAAACCAGAGGTTTACTTCTAACCTTCATTGTAAACATTAAAACTTTTGGGGCTTTTTTTCCTGTTTAACTGAATTATGCCACTGTTGAGCTTTCTAACAGAAAGTTTTGTCCAGGTGGTAAACTTCAATTATTTCTCTGGTGATATCCTAAAGCAAGTGAATTAATATGTAAACGTTAGTTTAGACCCATTCCACTATTTAATAATGAAATTTATTTTTTTAATTTAAAAACCAAATAAAAGCTTAAATTTGAACCATGTAAAGCAGAGTAATTTCTTGATCAGAAACCTGTCCAGTGCCAGAGCACTCTTGGCTTGTTCAGTGCTCGTGAGGTAGAAGAGAGGAGTGCTGATCAAGTGGGCTGTGAGAGGTCCAGGACTGGAGAGTCCCCAGAGGGCACTTGTCACCCATGGGTGCAAGGTGAGCAGCTGGTGAATGGTAGCCCATTTTGTGGGCTGCCTGCCACGGCGGGAAAGGGGCACAGTGTGGGCAGAGCAGAGTGCCCTGACTCTGAGTGTAAGGGATTGATGCTTGCTTAACCTCTCAGAGGGCATTTCAGAATTGCTGGGGAGGAGACAACCTGGAGGAGCTGCACCACAGGACGTTGAAGAGAGGTAAGCCAAGGGCATGTGGTGGTTTTCATCTTACACCCACTTACTGCCTTTCATGAGCTTCAGGCAGGTGACCTCAGCACTGAGGAGTACAGCAAGAAGGCAACAGCAAGCTTAGTAGGCTGGTCAAACTAGAGTTCCACTAGTGATAATTAAGAAAAACCAAAAAAACCCGAGTGGTTTTAAGCTGTATATTAATTCATAAGAAAATGTGACTTCTATTTTTTAGGAAGCAGCCTTTTAAAACATTGAAGGAAATAAATGAATATATAAGCTAGGCATATTCTGTTGTGTGTTAGGATATATGTATGTTTTTGTATGATTTTGTGGCTAAACGTGTGGGAAAATAGGAAGTTCACATGCAGTTAAACTCAGCCCTGCTATGAAATGGATATTTTAAATTTCTGCTGTCTTTAAAAACAGTGTTTTTTCATAGATAAAATTTTCAAAAGGAACAAATCCACAAGGATGTATTCCTCTTGTCCTTTGTTACCATAATAAAATGATGCTTGTCTCTGGGTCCCTAAAGGACCAGTCTAACTGACATTGGAATATGTATTACAGAATGGTGGATTAAAAAATGTATAAAACTGCTTTGCAAGAATAAGTGTTAAAGATCAGCCTTAAAAAAAAATTTAAGACCCTCCAGAGTAATCTCTCCCATTAGTTTACCCATTATTTCTGTTGCGGTTATGAGGGAAGAAGCTTGTTTATCTTAGCTTTTTTCAGAACAGTGTTAAAATAATAGCTAAAACTTGTTTCAAAGCAAGTGAGAGAACAGGAAAAAAAAATTTTAAATGGACATAGAGTCAACTTTTTATGTCATCTTTGCACTGTTTCGTCATCTTTGTAGGGTGGGTCCTTGTGATTGACTTAGCTGTTTGCATATCTCCATGAGCAGTTTTTGGCAAATTACAATAATGTTAGTTTGTCTGTCCATAAAATATCCGGTGTCTGTTATTTCCCTGCCACCCACTCCCTTAAGTAAAAATTTTCTTTTCTAAGGAGAGGGGCTTGTTGATTACACATCCTCCTTAGTTAGCACTTTATGCTTTCCTGTTTCCAAGCTCTATCTGACTATCTACCTCAGCCCCCAAGCTCTGTGTGGCCTTCTGCAGGACCCAAAAGCAGTAGGGTTAAATGCACATGTGAGTCTGAAGAGAGCAGACAAAATGTTACACTGTACTGCCAATATAACAAACTCTACTGAACAGGACATGTAATGTCTCTGTGTAGGCTGAGCAAAATTACTTCCTGATATAATTCTCCTAATTTCTGTAAAATTTCCTTCAGAGTAAAATTGGTCTCATTTCTATCAGTGTGTTCCCCAAGCAATACTTAGGATCCCAGCTAATATGCTACTGTGGGAAAAAGGAGGGGGGACTAGCTACAAGATGGCTCTAAGCTGGAGGTACTAACAATCAAGAATTTGGTGTTGTTTATTCACAGCTGAATGAAGGAATTTCTCCACAAAATTTGGACAAAATTATTTAAACAACATTTAAGAAATTCTGGTCAGTTTTAAAACACTATAAAAAACACTTGGCAGGTTTTAAAATTTTAATTTAAAGCAACATTTTCAAAAAGAATCTCTCTTCCCAAAACTGAGTAAGAAAAATATGAATTAGTTATCTTTAGGTTTTCTGGGTTTTTTTCCTTTATTATTTGATCCATAAGACAGGATCTGCTATAGTTTTGTCCCAGCTGAAATTCTGGCTTTCCAACTTTAAATTCTGACCCAAACAAATTTAAACCAATTTAAACATTACTCTATAGAAATGCTTTGGAGGGATGGTTCCAAGAAGATAAGAAGATGCTTATTTTTACTGTGTTTACTTCACACCTTTCTTTCCAAAGCTACTGTCTCTAGAAAAGCCTATGTGCTGCCCTTTGAAGTCAATGGCACAAACTTCTAGACTTTGATAAAAGTCTTCAAGGAGTTATTTCATTTACAAAACCAATTTTGCTAAGAAATTAATAATTTGATATATTTTTATCTGTGATACCTTAGCATGTAAATACAGATGAGAGGAAATGGAAGTTTCCTTACTCACAGGAGATAGCATATGATAGAAAATAAGAAGGGATATGCATAACACTGATTTTTTTTTGTTTAAGACACTTCAGGAAAAGTAGACCTGGGGCTTAATAGCTTAAATGCGATTAATTTCTCTATCCCGATTTTCTTACAGAAAACATCTACATTTTTGTTTCTAAATGGTAAGGGATAATTCTCTCAACATTAGTTTTTCCTTAAAACTAATGATGATTTTTCTCTGCTAATTTTCTTGTGTTAATGCTTTGTGGGTAAGATCTGTGGTAGTGCATTTGGTCTGTGTGTATTAAGGTTCAGGCTTTATGTGTTTCTTTTATTCTGTTTGGTACACTATTAGATACAAATGACTTCACTCTTAATGTACATTACAGTCTTAAGTCTATTAGATACAAATATCTTCACTGTTAATGTACATTATACTCTTAAGTCTTTGGTAGCAAGATTTTGCACTGCAGTTGCCATAAATTTCAGGGGCTGAGTATGAAGAGAAGATGTGGTGATCCACGTTCTGGTCTTCCCAGGAAGAAAAGAAGAGAACAGAATTTTTGTTTACCAAATAGATGCCATGCAGAAAATCTACTACATATGTTTTTCAGCTTGAAAGGGGCAAATCATAAGCATTAGAAAGCAAAAAAAAAGAAACTAAAAGGAGCAGCTGGAGGCTTAAACACTTGAATGTGTCATGGAGTCTTGCAGCATGTTTAGATGCACAGTGGGGTCTCCGAGTGAATCTAAAGCAATTTTAAAAATGGTGTTACTCTTAATTTCTCACCTGGAAAAAGAGCTAAGCAAGCTAAACAAGAGTAAATGAGATCTGTTTTAAAAGCGATCTTCAAACTTTAGGAGAGAAATCTATAGAGGGAAAATATAGGAGGATATAAATTTTGGTAAGGTTACATATAAAGCCATAATATGGGCAAAACAAATGGGAATATTTTTTCCTAAGCAAGTGAGAAACAGTAGTCCAACTTTAGCAAGAGATGAGAGTTTATCAGGTATTAAGGGAACACTGTGAATAGATAGGGCAAATGTTTTGAAAGAAACCAGGCTAGCATTTGAGAAGGGGAAAAAGTCACATATCAATCACAAAAGTAAGGTAAAATCATTTGTTGACTTGAAGGAGAATGGCTACTGAAATTTCTGAGGTGTCCCACAGAAACCAGAACGGGAGCAATGCTGTACAGTACATTCCTGGGTGGTGTGGAGAAGGGAGTTGATAATGAGCTGATTACATTTGTGGGTTATAAACAGTTATGGAGGGCAGTCCAGCTTACAGCTAACTGTGAAGGAATACAGAAGGTTCCTCACATTTCTAAGCTAGCAGATGATGATATAAAGAAGGTTGGATTTGGTGTGAATAATTACAAAGTACTGCAGATGGCACATCTGAACATGAGGATATTCTCTAAATTGGCTGTAATCAAATGGAAGAAACATCTTGGAGGCACAGTGGGAAGCTCTTCAATGACAAACAGCAGAAATTATTAGGAGGGAAATAATCAAACAGCATGGTAGAATGATATGATAAACCACTGAATAAAATCTGTGATGAGCACACATCTGGGGCATTGCGTTTCAGTTCAGGTTCTCCTTGTCTTCAAGAAAAATGAATTTACTTCTGAAGTACTGAATATGTAGAGGAAGATAATAAGATAATCAAGGATATTAAATAGTTTCCATAGGAGAAGATATCTAACATCCCAATCATGGAGGTGGGATGCCATTAGAACTCACTGTAATAACTGGGGTAGTAAACAAAAGGGAAATTCAGAAGCTCTGATCTTTTTCTTAGAACAGAAAATAGCAGTCTGGTTAGACAACATGAGGCAATGGATGTGGGGGTTTTTTTAAACATTTTTGTAGAGACCATGCTTTTAAATGAAGTACAGGTTACTGTAGAGAAGAAAACATATTCAAAGGTAAGACTCCACAAATTCTTGGAAGTCAAGGTTATTAGCAGTTGACAATACTAACATTATATAGATACACTTCTCAATGAGGAAAGTCCCTGCTCATCCCAGGAAGCAGGGATGGTTTCCCTAGGAAAGGCTCACAGGTTTGTGCTTTCTTACTCTCTGAGAAGAGAGTCTCTGAGACACTGCTGTGGGTGTTTGTTGAGGAAGGGAAGGTGGGCTTGATTTGTATAGCACCAGTGCCATACATATGTCCAGTGGGATGCAAATCAGGCTGCCTCCCTGAGAGGCAGGAGAGGGTGTTTGTAGTGCAGACAAGGAGATTTCCTATGCATGGGCTGGAAATGAAGTCCAGGAAAGGCAAAATCCCACTAAAACATTGTTGTTTTCTCACTGTGAATTGCAGCACTAACTGCTGGATAAAGTTCAAGCACTCCGTGCTGAGTTGTGCCAAGACTGTGTTAACTAAAGGAGTGACAGCTTTCCACTGGGGATCTGTGGAAAAATTGATTCAGACCTTGCTTGACATATCAAGGCAAATTGATACTACTCCTACAGCTCACCTGGTGGTCCATCTAGAAATGTGAATTTCTCTGCAGGTTCTTCATTAAAACAAGGCTAAGGAGTTGTTTTTCATGAAGAAATACTTTCATTGTTGTTTCTTCAAGTGAAAACTGGTGTGATGACTTCTTGATAGCATAAGTACTTCAACAGTGCCACTTATGACAGGGAAATGCCTGGAAGCTTTGGTTTTGTTTTCCTTGAGTCAATCTGAGGAGCAAAACCCAAACATCAAACACAGTGTACACATTGCCATACCATAGCAATATGTGAAGGAGGTGTTTTTTGCATGCCAGCACATCCATGAGTATGTACATGTGCAGGGCATCCATACATCTCTCAAGTTCACTCATATTTCCCTGTGGTTAGCTGTGTTCATGACTGTACATCCTGTATGTATACAGCATGTTAGCTATACATATGCTTGCATGCAGATAAAACAGGATCTCCTCTGGATGCTTTCATTTGCCCTATTTAATAATGAAAAGGGTTGCTTTGTTGCTTCAAAGCCATGATTCATGCTGCATTTAAGCCAAGTATACCTCCATCCTCAGCCTTTCACAATGCTCCCTGATGCCAGTACCAGCTACACAGAATGTGGAAGAAAGTGAGACGACACTCATACAGCTCATCCTCTTTCTGAGATCCTTAATCACATCCATTGGCTACCATTCCAAGCTATTAACAGACCTTTGTGAGCAACTTTTTGTTCTCCAGCTGGCTCAGAAAGCAATGCAACTTCCTAGAAAGCAAGGTATTTAGGTGGATGATGTAATGTCTTCTAGCTCATAAGGATAAGCCGTGTTTGTGAAAACCGGAGAGTGCAAGTGCAGCTTATGTTCCTGGATCAGTTCTCCTCTTCTGCACTTGTAAATGAGTAGATTCTTGGCATTACAAATGTTTGGCTGTGTTTTTCTCCTAGGAGATAGTTATGGCCCTTGGAGACGATTCCTTGAGATGACTGTGAGTCTGAATACAGCTGCTAATTCTAAAAGAAACGCCAGAATGAAAAATGAGATGATTTTAAAATTTCCCTACTGCAAGGAAACTTGAGAAGCAGTTAAGTTTTTAGGAAATCAAACATCTGTGTTATTCTTAATGCTGGTTTCAAGTTTTAAAAGCACATTGTGAGCATACTGCTGCTTTGGTGGGGCAGTCTGCAAGCAGATTTCATAACAAAGCAGCAATCGCCATAGCCTGTTAGTGGCAGATTGAACTGGACTTTGAGGAAAAAAAACCCAAACAAACAGCAAAACCAAGCCAACACAACAAAAACACTTAACAAAAACAACAAAACCCAAATAAGCAAAAAACCCAACCAAACAAAAAGTCCATATGTTGAACCGTCTGTTGAAGTATATTTGTCCTTCACAATTAGTAGTCACTGCCTTATAATGAGTTTGTGATCTCTTGAATTCTTCATAGCTCCATTTTAATTTGAAAAAAATAGGTTTATTTGAATACATCTGCCCTAACACTGGTATGAGCTAACACTGGTATGAGCTGACACTACTCATATTTAAATGGAGATTGAAGTTGAACGTATTAGCTAAATTAATCTGCACTGAGGTCTGTTTCTATGCCTGTCTGCATATCTGTAAAAAAACCTTTAGGTATATATTAGAAAAATACACATTTTCTTTAAATAGATGTGGTTATAAAATCATGCTCTTTCAAATATGCTTTGGAAGTTTTTAATATATAAAAGCAAGGAAAAAATTGTGAGGAAAAAGCACCCTAGAAAGACCCTAGAACTTTCAGGTTGCCTTCAGACATCAAAGTGGGACAAAAAGGAGAGAAAAAAATAGCAGTATCAAAACCTATATTTTTTTCTTCCTTTGAGGATTAGCTTTGTGCTCAATGCTGCATTTCATGGTTTACCAATTTTTTATTTCTGTACCTAAGCCAGATTAGCATTCACTTTCAGCAAAGTCTCTTATAAATGGAGTTCTTAGCCACAGAGAATACTGAAACATATCATGTCTGAAAAAAAACCTGTGACTGCAACAAATAAGCCCTCTAGACAATATCTCTATACCCTGTTAACTAAATTTAGTGGCAAAGGTAAAGAGTTGTTGAATTAAGGTAATACTAGAGAGATTTCAGGTTCTTGAATAGAAGCTGGCTTTTATGTTCTCAATGTGACTGAATATGGGGCAACCAACACATCTTCTCACGATTCTATTTCAGAAGCTGCGGGTCTGGTTGCTGTTACAGAACACAAAACCCACTGTCCCTTTCTCCATTAAATTCCTAAGGACAAGGGCTTTGGGGAATGCTGTATCTGGAAAATGCCACCCTGAGAGCAGTTTGTTCAGAGTCTCACCTCAACACTGCCAGCTGTGTTGGTTTAGGCCACTTGTAATAGGAGGGAAACTGCTGTTTGGATGAGATCTGTGAACCCTCTCCCTCTTGAAGGGACTTGCTTAGCACTGGTAGCAGATACCTCACAGGTCAGGATCCCAGAGACTTCATCCTTTAAAACCATAGGGAGCTTGTTTTCCTTCAGAATGATACAAATTAATTTTGGTACATCAAACTTTCCAGTATTATAAACTGAAAAACACCATCACAGCCTGTTTGATTTGCAAGACAAGGGTGTCTAACCACATTGCAGCTGTACTCAAACTAGAATATTTTTCCCTGTCTTTTGTTGTTTAGTATTACATTTGTGGTTGAATAAAGTTCATGACTCTTCAGATTGAATCTTCAAGCAAGCTTGTTTTCACTTACCAGAAATGATTTCCGATTGCTATTAATGGTAAGCCTCACTGGAAAATGTATTCATGGGTCAGCAGAGATTTGTTCTTTTTTCATGTTTTTTGCAAGATACATGAACTGATTAATATATTATGGATTTTTACAAAGTAAATGACATGTATGCACAAACTTTTTTTAAAAAAAGGGCCAATGAAGAAATGAATAAAGTGAAATTTACTGATTCTATTCTGAAGTAGAAAAGGATGATCTGTTTAGGAGAGCCAGGTAAGTTATAAAGGTATTCCTTCAAACAACAAACTCTGAAGGACATGGAAACATCTTTTTCTTTACAAAACCTGTGGCAACCCGGAACTATAGTTGCAGGATAATAGATGCAAATTGCAGTGCTTAAAATAATTAGATAATAAAAGAAAATTCATCTCTTTCTTTGGTTCTCACTCTGTAATGTAACAAAATTCCTGGTTTAACTTGAAATTGTGCTTTCTTTGTTAGCAAACTTTCTTTCCAAGTTCAGGAATGTACTTTGGACTGTATGTGAGACAGACATTTTGATACTGCCTTCAGTGGAATCAGCATTTCTGCAATAAATGTGTTATTGATTCAGGGTAAACTGAGCCACCAAAATGGCAATTGCTTTTGTACTTTTGAAAGGATTAATTTGGGTTTAACATCTAAATAGTGACATCACACAGCTCTGCATTGGTGCACCCTCAGACTTCTAGGGTGGCAATGAGGAACTATCTTTTCCTTATCCTGGTGGCAGATAGCTATGACAATTACCTTAATACTTTATATGACAAAAGACATGTATTGTCTTTTTGTATTTGGCTCTACACAGACCTCTGGAATCTCTTAAGTATGTGTGTATGAGGACAGGCTTTTAGAGTGGAGAAAAAGAGGTATTTAAGAAGGTTGACTGCATATTATTAGCTTCTGGTAATGGGTCACAGTTCAGGCAGCATCACCCACAAAGTTACTCTGTAGCAAAATCACTGGAGTCAGCAGGCTTCTGGAAAATACCCACCACTATTGTTTAAATGCTTGTGTTCCAGTATTTTTCCACAATTATTTTTGTTTCTGCAGCATTGTGTTCTCTCTGTGAGCACCACTGTGGAGGTGATTGTTTTAGGAGGAACAGGCTCTGAGTTTCCAAGCTGTCCTGAGGGCGTGGAAAAAAGGTCTTTCATGGAAACTACCTCAATTAAAAATATGACAATACATAATCGTGGACCTGAGGAGACCTGACACACATTTCACGCCTGGCCCCTGACTGCCTGAGTAAATAGATGCCATACTTAGCACAGAGAACAAATGGTTTGGGCTGAGAAGAGTGAGTCATTCAAAGCCGAGTTGCTTTTCCTGAAAGCACACAGAAACGCAATGATTAAATAGGCTTTACATTTGGAAAATCCTGCAGGCAAGTCTTTAATCAGTCTTGAAATGCTTTTCCTTGTGCTGCCAGTAGATTTGTTTTGACACAGCGTGGTGATGACTCTAGGTGAGGCAGTCAGTTTTAGCTGGTAGAGGCGTACGGGTGACGACTGCTCACGTTAGGTGAGCTCAGTGTTGGGTGTCTGACGAGTGTGCTCCTTCTGCTGCAGGTGCTGCATTGAGCTCAACGCAGAACCAGCTTTTCCACACAAACTGAGAAGATGCCTGAGCTGCGTGGGCTGCCTGAATTCAGGGAGAGTGAGCAGATGGCAGCCCTCACTGCAGCCTGATGATGCTGTTCCTGATGAACTTGGTTTGAAACTCTGGTTCTCATCTCTTGTGGAAAACCACAACGGTTCATGGCACATGGACCTCAGCTGTTCCAGCTTCCTCTTCCCATACACATGTGTGTGTGCAGCAACATTTGACTCAGCTAGGTCTTGATGGTGGGAAAGCAGGAATTTCTGTGCTGGATGTTGGGTGGGAGAGGGTCAGAGGGTGCTTGCCATAATCATGTGCTATTGCAGTATTCATGTAAGTGGGTCGTGTTTATTTTGTTTTCTATTTTCTTACTGGTTTAATATTGGAGTTTCTTCTGTAAAAATGAAAGAGCAATTAAACCATTACTTATCAGTAATGCCATAATGTTTCTGCCATAATGAAGAAGCACTTAATTACTGTATGTTACATATCACGTCAGAGCCTGTCATGTCCCTTTTTTCCGGGAGACTCACCAGGGAAAGAGTCAGTCAAATTCTTGGTAAATCCCTCCTGACTGCAGGGCACACGACTGAGCAAAATGCACCTTGTTCACCTGGCAGCTACACTCAGGGGAGTTCTCTGTCTGTCAGAGGCAAACTATCTACTTGTCTCTCAAACGTGGTGCATTTCCACTTGTAAACTTCATTTCTTGTTGGAGAAAAGACATCATTCAGAGGAGACAGGTGAAGGGTAATGAGAATCTGCGAATTATGTTCCCAGGGAGAAAAGAGTGGCTGGAGTGGATGAAGCAGATTTGAGGCAAGGGGTTACAGGAGTGCCTGGAGAAGCCAATAAAGCCTAGAAATTTGTCAATCTGTAAATTGGAGAAGCCCTGAACTCTCTGCAGAGAGTGGAGGAATAGGAGAGAGAAGCTGAGGTAAGATGCCTACCTGGAGAAGATGCTCTGCATGGAGATATGCATCCATTCAGGCAGATGCTGGGGAGGGAGGGGGAGATGCAGGGAATTCCCCTGTTCAGTTGCCCTAACCCTTGCTGACACCATGACTTGTTTTCCACCTCCCACAGCATCACTGATCCTGCACTCTGCTCCAGAAAGGTTGTCTGAGGGCAAAACTGAGCTAGGAGAAAGAGCTATTAGGTTGTTTATGCTTCTGATGGTCCCAGTCCCACCTGGGCTGGCCAGAGTGTTTCTACTTGGATACTTGGAGTTCCTGAGACCTGGGTTGTTGGAAGGCATCCCACCGCTGGCACTACTCCTGCTGCAAGGCTGTTTCCCACTGAGTGGGGTGGGGAAGAAAAGGTTCCAGCCTCTCTGGTGGCTGCTGGGTTGATCTGTCTCTGCTATATTGCTACCCCACAGTCTGGCTCTCCAAGCTGATGCTTGGCTCTTCCCTGCCCAGCCTTCACAAGGGCTGAGGAGGAAAAATATTTTTCTCTCTAGGAGGTGAATCATAAATAATGTCCATGCTCTGCTTTCCCACACAGCTGCATGTGCCCTTTGAAACACAGGGAAGAGGTAGTGTATGTAATGAAGTCATCCCTTGTATGCTTCTGTCTGCTTTGTATGTATTTTTTAAAGTTTTTAGCTGGGACACCACCTACCCTGCTATATTGTCTTCCTTGGTGAAATCCAGAAATGTAGAGGGTCAGATCCTTACCTGCAATAGTTTAATGTAATTCCGTTAAAATCAAAGGAGCATTCTCATTTATCACAGTAAAGGTCCTCTTGCAGAAAGTATTTTTAACTGCCAGCATCCTCACTGAGTGTGAGGGAAAGAAATCTATGGTAATTTGGGGGGAATATTTAGCCAGTCTACTCGGAAGGTTCTCCTATTTCAGTTGTGCCTAGGGATTCCTATCAGAGCAAAAAGATGCTGATAAAGGGGATGGTTTGGCACAAGTTTAATTCAACATTGACTTAAGCTGTCAGGGCTAAGTAGATCAAGAAGAATAGCACTCAAATTATGACAGCTTCAAGGCTTTGTAGATAAGAAAGAGAATCTAATTTTAATTATGATCTTCACTGAATTTTGAAAAGATCATAGTCCTTCATCAGTGCAAGAAGGACAGGAAGCATATACATGAACTCTTCCCCATGAAAGGTAGGGGCAAATCTGTCTTTTGTTTTAGCCCAAAGCATGTGAAGGCCAACATAACTTCTGTTCCTTTTCCTGGAACTATGTGGTACAATATTGTTTTTTGCAGAGTTATTACTATACTGAAAATGTTGTTGCTATACTGCAAGGGCAGTAAAGCAGACTTTGCTGAAAGCAAAATTTTTCTTCAGTTGACTGAAGATGTGCCTCCCTCCCAGTTTAGAAGTATCTCCCTCACTCAACAGGATTTTAAAAAATTAAGTTAATTTTAAAATATCAGTCTCAGGCTTTGTCTTAATTTAAAAACTTTTAAACCAGAGGTTCATTAATGTTAGTGTTTATAATGCTAGCATTATGTCACTTGCTTCTATGAGGAATTTATTGACAAATAGTTTACAAGCAGGCATCCTGCATTTAAAGAAACCTTGTTTTGCAGGCTTATGTAACTTGTTTTAGATACAGTGGCTATCTCTACCTAAAATCCTTATCATTGTCAAGGAAATGGGAATTTCTCAGGTCTATTATCACTCTTAATTCCGTTAAATATACTCAAGGACTGTGAATGTAAACCCTTGTTGCCTGTTGCCAGCCTCTTCTCCATTCTTAGATAGGAACAGAGGGAGGTCGGTCTGCTGGGGTGCTTGATACCAACAAAGGCTAAGAAACTCCTGTTGAAATAGAGGACAATTGTTCAACTTTTAGACCAATATACCTGGGTGAAGCTCACCTACAAAGTGAAGCATCTATGTAGCATGACTGGAAAGGTGTTCAGAAGACAGACGGTTCACTTTTATTGTTTCCCTCTTTCTTGTTTTTCACTTTTGAAATTGAAGTCCTGCAATATTTTACAGTGATTGGAGAAATAGAAAAGTAATGAATCGCCACAGCCAAATGAGAGGAAGGAAAGGGGATTTTTAAATCCAGATTGTCTTAGACTCTGCTAGCATGTAATTTTTTTTCCAGTGGCTAATTAACTTCAGATAAAAGAGATTGTAAAGTCTTTAATATCAATTTCAGTTCTTCATGAAGATGCAAGAACTCAAACGTCCTTGATGCATCCTTTATCAAGCCATGGAAAGTGAGAAAGATTAAACTCTCGAGCTTTCAAATAGATCTAAAGTAAAAGAAAGCCAAGAAGGTTTTAGCTTTATTCTCTTCATCTGTCCTTGACCCAGCAGCTGTAATTTAGCCACCAAATTGATGGGGAAGGCAAGCTTCATACAAAAGATATATCTTCTCTCACGTCAACTACAATGGAAGGAATATTTGGTGTAGAGGTTTTAATTTCTTTTAATTACCCAAATTTTCAAACTGACCTATGCATCTTTAAGTATACAGATACTTAAAACCAAATTTGCAAAACCTCAAACAAATGTCTGATTGAGTTTATAAATCTGGCCTTAATAAAGAGACTTAAGGCTGGATTATTCAGATTGTTTTGGAAGTCAAAGTGATTAAAATTTTATCTTAAATAAGAAGGCATCCTTTAGCACCATCTTAATGAAGACCCTAAGATTGGAAATGCCTGTTTAGGAAGATGGGAAAAGCCAGAAATCAAAGCACCTTTCTTTAATAAAATAATTCTTCATTTCAAAAGTGCAGGGCAGCCTGGGAGAATGAAGACAAGCCCAGGACCTCTTCTTTTCCTGCTGAGCTGTGGTGCTCACAGATGCTGAGGGGAGGTCTGTGAGGATACTGCTGCCAGTGGGGTGAGAATCAAGCAGATGGGAGCTACTCTTTCTGGCTCTACCTGGGGTGAGGGCAAGGTGTGGCTTAGCCAGTTTGGTGGGTTGTCAACCTGGTCATCAGCAAGAGTTTTCACTGCTCCTGCCTCCACTCCTTGAACCTTCTCCACCATGCATGGGACTGGTGTGGTGCCCACCAGATCATCTCCCATGGGATGTTTGTGGCAAGTGTTTTTTCCCTTTCCACTTGGCTTTCTTTCTTCCTGTCAGTCACTGAAGGGAAGATTCAGTCCTCTGTGTCAATGCAGAACAATGACAATACCCCTGCAGGTCCTAAGGGCTGGGGAGTAATCTGCAGATGTATCCAGAATCAAGCTCTGCAGAACAGTTCGTCTCCCCCACTCATGATTCCTGTAATGGGAGGAAGCGTGTTTGGAAAAGGAGTCTCATGTTTTGAGAATGCTGTTTTCTACATGGAGTGTACTATCTGTATCTTTTGCACACAGGCTGAGAGGGGCTCTGGCATTTTAAGAGCAAAGTCTAAAGTGCTCTCCTAAAACCCATGCAGCTTGCTAGTAACCACTTTTAAAGAGAGGACATTGCTTTTAAATCCTGTTTTCTAAGACTATTGCCAGAGGAAAACTGCATTTAGTTCAGTGTCTTGAATGAGGATGGAGGGCTCAGATCTAAATTCTTGGTTACTCATTAGAACTAAAGGTCTTGGTGTCAGACATCATAACCTAATGGAATGGAATTAATCATCTGGCTGGGAAAGTCTGGCTTTAGAAATATGTGACATACTGAAGTGCTTCCACTTTTGCTCATCAAATTCAGCATGAAGATCAATTTGTGCATCTGCAACCTCTTCAAAAGTAGCTGACAACAGAATGGTTTGTTTGCTCAGAGATAAACTTCCGTGGCTTGTTACATGATATGTGTTGTTTTTGCAGTTAGCCTAGGAAAAGGAGTTGGGGAAACAACAGAAAACCTTCAGACAGACTAGGATAAAAAAACCCAAAAACTCTGTTTCAATCTTACAATTGAAATAAACTGTGTTTTATGTGATCCCCTTATATACACCCAGCTGTCTAAACTATTTTCACTCACATGAGACCTGTCAGTGTTGGGAACATCTGCTAAGATGTTCCACTGCTGATGATGGGTATGACATTCAGCAAAATAGTTGCAAAATTTTATTTATAGGGGAAGATGCAATATGTTTTTCCTGATCATCCCTATCTACCATTAAAGAGCACTGAAGTTCACACAAGGATTTCCAGTTGGCTGGTTTTGAACTAAATTATCAAAGACCTTACATTACTCTTAAGTCCTCAAGCACATTTGCACTTGCTCTCCCTTGTTTAATGTACTTGTTATAAAAGTAAAAGCTACT